CTGATTTCCCCCCCCCCACCCTCCCGTGGTCCTTGTGTGTCTTTAGGGCCGTCTGGGAGCCGTCCCTTAAGGGGGGGGCTCTGTCACGTCTGGTGTCTCGTCATGTCCTGATTACCAATTGTGTGCACCTGGGGTTCCCCTTCCTCGTGTGTTTAAATAGTCCTCGTTTCCCCTTGTCTGGTGCGGGGTCGTTCTTGTCTGCTTGCCTTGTCTCTTGTCCTTTCGTCCGTCGTCACCCCCACGCCAGGTTTGTTTCGTCACAGTTCTGCCACAGTCATAGTCACGTTTTGTCATAGTCTTGTTTATCTTTATTTTGTTACTTTGTCAAGTCATAGTTTTTGCCACAGTATTGTTTGCTCATTGCTTTGTTACTTTGCCCACAGTTTGCCACAGCTTTGTTTTGTACTTTGTCTGGACATTCACCCTGTTTTTGTTCAATAAACCTTGTTCCCCTCATTCCGCGACTGAGTCCTCCCGTCAACACCCACCTCCCTGACACACTCACTCATTTTATTTTTTTAATGTCATTGTGTTTGGACTGATATTATATTTTGTGATTTTGTGTTGTTTTGTCCTGATGTAAATTAGCAACTATGCTAGAATTTGGCTCATTTACAATCTGTACTGAAGTGTAAGATTGTTCATTAATGTGCACTGTCTGGATTAAATAAATAAATAAATAAAAATATTGCCAAGTAGGTTTTTGACTTGCAAAGAATTTGCCTTTTTGGTGTTTGGTGCACAACACAACACTTCTATGAGAAGCAAGGAAGGAAATACAATGTAGAAGTAAAAATATAGAACAGAAAATATAAAACTAAAAAGTACAATATTTAAAAATATAGATCTGAATGAACAAATGAACAATTGAAATGTGCAACGTTTGAGCATCAAAGCACCATGAGGAGTAATCTCCCACATCTACTGAACCAGATCTGAACCAGTTCTGTATGAGAGACGAATTTAAGGGTTTATTAAATTATTATTATTGTAGGATCGAGCCATCAGGGACTCCTCAGAGTGTTTTAGGGTCAAAGGTGAGAACATCTGAGACTAAATCAAACTATTTGACCAGTTTTTAGCTGTGAAGAAATGCAGCAAAAAGAAAAAAGAAAAGAAAACACAGAGAGAGAGACATTTTCTTATATAACCTTTATTTCACATGGCTTCACACTGTTTTAGTTTCAATGTAAATTTCAGCTTTTTTCCTCCAGAATCAGCTCTGATTTCCACTAAATGAGCTCTGTTGCTGCTATTTTGTGCTGAAACCAGTCGACTAGAAGCTGGAACTCAGAGCTATGCAGCATTTTATATATCTACATGTTAAATATGAGCTAATGTTACTAAAAAAGGATTAAAAGATGTCAGTTTTTCCACAAGAAGCTGGAAAAATCACACAAAATGAATATGTGAACCAGATAAATTACTATAATAAATCCCAATATATCAAATTTAGACATAAATTTCTGCCTTTTTCCTCCAGATTCAGCTCTGATTTCCACAAATGAGCTAATTTTACTCAAAAAGAATGAAAAGATGTCAGTTTCTCCACAA